TCCGCCGAACGGTGCGTCACGCGGGGCTGGGCGCGCGGTGATTACGTCATCAACAGACTCGCGGGGAAGATGACGCCACCTCGTGGTGGGGAGGGGTACTGCAGGCCATGGGGCCAGTGCAACCCAACCCGCGGGGGGTCTCGGTGTTTGCTTTTCCTTTTCCTTATTTTCATTTTCCTTTTTTTTTCTTTTACGCTACGTAAAGTAGCAGCTCTGAGAGCTATGCGTAGGACAGGGAAAAAGAGTGATGCTGTGGTGTCAGGCTGAAGTGAGGCGCCGCCCCAACATGCATGGGGCTCCCTGTCTCCAGGAGTTGCTGGGAGCACAGTGGGATGGAGGCACCGGGGGCTCTTCCCTGTGCCCAGACGCCTGCCTGCCTGCTGCTGGGTTACTGTGCCAACGGGGCTATTGGGTGCCCTGCGCGCAGTGACTCACGCGTGTGTCACCGTGCTGAGCAGCTCGTGGCTGGCGTGGGCCTGCGGAAATCATCCGGTGACTCACAGCCTCCTTCCCTTTGGAAAATGGCTGTCAGGGGCTGAGATCCCCTTGGAAGCAGCCTGCTGCGGTTTGGCAGCGGGGGTGAAGGGACAGCTGGGCAGAACGCACCGCTCTCCCACCAGGCTCCTGTTCAAACGCGATGTGTTTCAGGGCGATGGGGAACCAGGAGACCTTGCGTGGCTCCAGCAGGCACCTCGGCGGGGCCACGCGTGGCTCACAGCCTGGTCTCCGTGCCTGCTGACGGCTGTGTGCACATCCAGGTGAGTCAGCACCCACCTCCTGCCTCAGCACCTCCGGGCGAGGCTGCGTGCATGAAGGAAGGCGCAGCGTGCAGACAGGCTGCGGTTCTGCTGCCTCTGCAGATTTCTCTCTGCTGGGTGCACAGGGCACTGTGTGCCACGGGGCTGTGAATCAGGCACTGCTGTGACCACATCGCAGCGCTGCCCTGCGATGACGAGGCAGCAGGATTTCACTGAGAGGGGAAAGGCTCTGGCCCTGCTTTCAGGTGTCCTTTCCACACCAGGCCTGCAGCCAGTATTTCTCTGAGTGCGGAATCCCAGGAATGTAACAGACACCCTCCCTGAAAGTCACCACTGCTTTCCAAAAGGTAAAACGCTTCATTAAAAAAATAATTTACTGTATCTTATATACAAACCGAAAGAAGGCTCGCCCACAAAATACTGACATCTAATGCTTTACAAAAGCTGCAGACAGGAGAAGTGAGGTTTCCAGACGTGCTACTTGTTTAACCAGCTGTAACTCAAGGCAGGGATGTTTTGTTCTGCCACCAACAGTTCTGCTGGTTTGTTCGGTGTCTGTAGCTCAGTGTGTTGCTTGCTGTCACAGGAACAGCCCACAGCCTGAGCCATTCTCAACGCTGCTAAAAGCACCTTTGTGGTGTATGGGTAGGACGGACTCCCTGGTGTTCATGCAGCATTATTTGCCATACGTTTCACTGCTCTTAGGTAATCCGTTGCTCTGTGAGCAATCCTGTTGCAGCTCATGGCATAATGGAGAGAAGCTGCAATCTGATGAAAGGCACAAGGCGTTAATTCGGCTGGCTGCACACCCTGTAAGATTTTGTACTTTTCCCTCTTGCTGCCTGAGGAAGATTCTTTATGAATATTTCTGAGATTTCGTGCACAACAGACATTGGCCAATACTTAAGGATCTAATTTCTGACTGTTTGCACTTGGTCATACTCTACAAGTGATCCCACTGAAGATACTCAGCACCCCTAAATACCACTATCACAGGGTTGAGCTGTCATGGGCAGTGAGTTGAGGTCAGACCTCATCTCTTGGAGTTAACAGCAAAACACACATTGGTTTTAATTGAACTGAGGATTCACTGAGATAAAAAAACAACTGGAGCAGGCTCTAACTCAATCTGCCCTGTGTCACGGGGCTGGCCTGCTTGCTAGCAGCTGAGTACTACCAGCTGCAGAACAGGGAAACAGCCACACACACACACACACACTCCTTGAAACAGACTGGCAGAGGCAGAACAGGAGCTGCCACAGACATCTGCTGAATCAAGGCTGCTTTCCTGAGTGCTCTGCTAACACCTTGCTGAGCCCTGCAGCCTAGCAAGAGGCACACGCAAAGCCAGCTGTGGAGCTCAGGGCGCCTGTCCCGAGTGCCTGCTCCCCAGTCCTCCCTGCTGCCCTGCCAGCTGATGGAGAGCACGCACAGAGCTGTGGCAGAGCACAGCAGCTCACAGAGCCGTGTGTGGTGAGGGAGCCGGCTGCCAGCTGGTGATTTCATACAGCATATCCACGATGAGCTCAACAATGTCTGCGCTGCCAATGACGGGCCGGAAGAAGAGGTCTGTGATGAGGGCAGGGGGGATGGATTTCAAGGTGGAGGTGATGAGCAAAATGAGGGCAAAACGGTCCTGGTCCTCAGGGTGCAGAATCCTCACCACCTCCTGAAGCGCTCGCTCGGCTTCCCGCTGGAGGCTCTCGATGTGCAGGGAGGCCGTCAGCCCTGGGACATCTGCCAAGAGAAAGGAGGAAAGGCATGTGAAGAGGAAGGCTGGAAAACAGCTCCAGGTTTCTCCCATCTCCTTCCCTGTGTCTTGGGGAAAACCTCCGAGTGCCACCCTAATGACACAGATTTCAGGGCTGTTGCGTTGAGGGAGTAAATATAACTAACAGGGCAGACATAGGCTTTATAGATTTAAGACCCCCTTTATAGATTTAAGTCCCCCTTTGTAGATTTAAGTCTTTGTTTGCAAGGTGAGGAGGTCTCTGCTTTTAAACACCGCATTCAGTATCTCTCCTCCCTGCGTCCCAGCTGTAAGCTGCACTGTTGATGCTAACGATAACGTGAGCAGCTCTCCCTGCTCTCACACACGCTTTTGCCCAAACTCTGAGTGACTCCAAGCCAAGAGCTGTGTTTTTAAATGCTAACTCATGCAGGGCTTTCTCTCGCCACCAGCAGGCAGAGCTGAGAGGGTTGAGCACTCACCAGGATTAAAGAGGATGGCTCCCTTCAGGTAGGCATATTCTTTTGGGCTCAAGTCCAGGCTCCAAAAAGTGTTGAGGCTGCACTGCAGCCACTGCATGGCGGCCAGCATGGGCTGCGTCCACTCAGGCTCCTGCCTTTTGCTTTGGCCATCAAGGAGGATCTTCTCGAGCATGCTGGGGGCCGGGGTCTCCATCACCTCAAACGTCACCATCTCCTGGACCAGCCCCAGGAGGAAAAGGGGGACCCAGCAGCTGTCCAGCAGCAGGAGCTGATCCCCCCGTGGCAGCAGGTGGAAGGAAGGGAGGTTTTTCATGAAGCTGATGGTTTTCACCAACACATCGGAGGCGGCCTGGCAGGTGATATGGGGTGTCCGGAGGCAAACTGTCCAGCGCTGGTGACACAGGCAGCGTTGGTGGGGTGGGCTGTGGCTCAGGTTCTGGCTCAGGAGGGTGTAGAGAATGGCTGAGTGTTTGTCTCCATGCTGGCACTGACACCTCTCGCAGTCCATGTCCGTGCTACTGGTCATCAGAGCCTGGGAGCTTGTATCCTCTGTAAAGCTCCACAGATAGGAGAGAACTGTAAGTTTCCTCCCCGTCTCAGCCTGGGAGTGACCTGTCCCCTCTGCTCTGCCAGCACATGGCTGTTCAAACAAGCTCTTATAAGGCTCAGTCACAAGTGGAACACCCCTTCCCAGCCTTGACCGCTCTGTGATTAAGCGGTCCTCATTAAAAAAGAAAAAAAAAACAACCAACCCAACCAACCAGCTGTCCCCAGACTGATTGGCTGGGACCAGCAAGATCTCAGCATGGCGTCAGTGGCCGTTTTCTCAATGAAACGCCAGCAGCCGCAGCGCGGGGATGGGGCAGCGGGTTGGGCAGCCTTATCACAATTACCCAAACAGTATAAACAAAGTCATTAACCCGGGCTGTACCATGGCACCAAGGCCCCGCACTGCAATCAGGCTGTGCTATCTGGCAGGTGTCGCTGCCAAGGAGTTCACACACACATACACACACACACAGTGCTCGTCTGGAGCGAGGACACCATGGCAAATGGCCTGCGTGCTCTGGCCTTGGAAAGAGCAACCTGGAAGTCATTTTATCAGCAGATGTTTGCCTAACCTTGTTGACAGGAGATTCGTGCTGTTACAGTTAAGGAAGCCAGTGAATAAGTGAAGCCACACTACACCCGAGGCAGCGCCCCATGTGCTGCAGAAGAAACACTGGGTAGGCGAGAGCCAGATTGTACATTTTTCCCTTTTATTGCGCTGAATTTGTATGTTTCGATCAGCAGAAGTGAAGTGGCAGCACACAATTATGGATTTCAGGGGGGCCTGTGAGGAATTCCTCACTCAGGTCCGGTGAACCCTGCGAGGAACAAACGCCTTAAGGGCACAAACAAGTGGGAACTGAGGGCCACGTTCATAGATTTTCACCACAAAATACCCGGGTATTTGTGTCTGTTGGCCAGCACAAGTCAGCCTGGGGAACTGGCAGCATCTGCTGATCGATTTCAGGGGGACCTTGGGCAGTAGGCACCCAATGGGGATGAGGGCAACTCATCCTAAGGGCACACAGTGAAACCAGCAGTGAGGGGTAAGGAAAGGCCCATAGCAGCCAGCAGGACTGCTACAGTCTCTCCCTGCTTCAGACTGCAGAGCCTTGGCCCTGCTTGGGCCTGAACGAGCGGCTCTTTGAACCGTGTGGTGACGGGAGGGGACTCGGGAAGAGCCAAACCCTGCGCAAGGACAGGAAATACCCGGAAGTAAACAACGCTGCCCGGCCCCGAGCCCCGAGCCCCGGCCGAGCTTTCTGGAAAGGCCCAGGCCCGGCCGTCGCTATAGCAACCGAGCCCCGCGCCACTCTTCCCGCCTCTCCACAGCGGGTACTGCCTCGACCAATCCGCGAAGGCAGCAGCGCAGCCG